TGTTTGTTTGATTTGTTTGGAATCAAACGTCATTGGAATTTTTCTTTCAAGTATTTTTTCCTTGAATAATAGTGAAAATAAAGTATCATCCATAATATGTTATATTGTTTTACTATGGAATTCCAGATAAGGATGATTTGAAAGATGGAAGTTCGTTGAGGAGCGTTTGTGTATGGAAAAGCAAGTGTCGGGAGTTCACTGGTTACATCCATATAAATCCTCAAGTTACCTACTCTTCGTTTTACGAGGCACAATTATTTACCGAGTAACCGGATAAAGTTGCCTTATTTGGTTCTAGTTAACTCATCGGATCGCTTGATCGTTTCCATTTTATTCTTTGCTCCCACTTTTTTATGCGATCAACACTCGACTTCAATACTGATAAAATACAATGGCAATAGGTTAGAAAAATACATTTTCGTCGGAAAGATATCTATTTCTTTTCGATGGAGAATGAAAAATTTGCATTTTATCAAATTTAATCGGGGGGGGGGGGTTGAATCTGTGACGATAATATTGAACAAATTCTTACAGGGCCATTTGAATTTGTAGATTTGTCGGAGATAACGAGATACAGTCGCTTCATTATTTGATGTCTTGAGTGCTACCAAAAAATCTATTGATAAAAATCAGTTGTACCATCCCCAATGAAGTATTCAATTTTATACGAGTCTGTGTATTTTGTGACAGATAATAATTCTAAAAAAGCAAAAAGTCCGGAGCGTCGCTCCAATGTTGCTTTCCATAATACACTTATAATGATCTTAAAATATTCGAAAAGTGCCGGGACTAACATACAGAGACTGGAGGGACCTATATTTTGAAGGTCGCACTAGGTATTCTAAATGAAGAATTTTATGGACATATTTATTGTTAACCCAGCCACAGCTCGAAAGACTTGGACACTACACAGCTAGCCATATACTTTTCTATCCTATCAGTTTGCCTCTCCCTCTTTCTCCCTCTCACACTCGTCTTGAAAAAGTCTCTTTCTTCCGTCTTCTCTCATTCCCCATACGTCTTTTTTTACTGCCATACTTCATACATCCTCTTATAATCATAATCATCAGTCGGTCTCATATTCAGTATAACACTGGGGTAATTATCAATACGTGCCAGTCATTCTAATAAATTTTCGTTAATTATTATAATTTTTTTTTCTGAAGGCTGTAACTCCAAAGAGAGACTATTGAAAAATCAAAGTTTTCAAAATTAATACTCGTAAACATATGCCAATCGTGAAAAGGTCCAAGGTATGAATATAAATGAGATATATGTCCATATTTCTTCTTCAAGGGTTCAAATAATGATTCCTGAGGAAGCTAAAAATAAAGACGAAATTATAATAACAAGCTTGAAGAGTGAGGAGATGTCTATCACAAGTTTTAAATTTTCCTATTAATTAAACTCAATTCACGTGCATTTGGAAGAATTAGCCGTGAAAATCTGATACTCCAATTTACTAAATTGTGATAAAAAGGAAACATGAAAATAAATACAACGATTGATTGCGTGACTGCATAAAATGTGAGTAGAACTGTTGCTCACTTTTTTCGAAATGCGTTTCCGTGATCACCAACAAACACTATGATGAAGACTCTCATCACCCCCATGTCCATATTTACTTCCTATATATTTTCTCGCGTGACATTGCGTGACGTTGTGAATTAAATAAATCCACGTGTCGAGCACGTGTTGTCGTGGGTCAGGGACCGGTGTTTCCCGTATTTTTCGGCGATGATTCATTAGATCGGTCATTATCACGAATTATTTACCAGTGTTACGTAGTAACATGTCAGGTGAGTCGAGTCGAGATATAGCTTCATTTGATATGTTAAAAGGGAAAGAGTGAATGACAAAGGGGCGTTAGAACAAAAATATTGTTGGCGCTGTCAGGCGTTAATGCCTCAGAATCAGGTGGACTAATGAAGGCACAAAGAGAGCATAGAAAATTCATTGTTGAAGGTATTTGAGTGCAACTGTCATGCCTATTTTTTTTTTTGTAATTATGATAAAAACTAAAAATTGAAAAATGGAGTAGGTGTATGCTTTTTAAAACGTTGAGAATTCTTGGAAAAGCGCTTTTACGAAGAAATTTGTTTAACCAGTTATGAAAGGAAGGTGCAACACACCACCGCGGGGAAGCAGCGCCTTCTGCAACGGGGAGGGAGGGAGAAGGATCCATTTGAGAGCCAAGAGATGCGAGAAGATGAGTAGGGACAGAGGAGGGAGGAAGGGAGGGTGATGGCAGGACCATGGTAGCCCCCAGAACGAAAGGACAACGAGGGGAAACTGCAGAGATGTGAGGCCTCTGTGTTTCTCTCGTTGCTCGCTTCTCGAATATAAGAAGTGCAGCAACGCAGGTAGGCTCGTTAGCGAGCAGGTAGGTAGAGAGCTCCAGTGGAACCCAGCGTACCCAACTCTGTATGTCTGTATATACATGCATAAGCATAAATACATATAGCTACACTGCTCCGAGTAGTTTCCGTTTCAATGTATCTGTGCGTTTGTATATACCGGGTGTCTGTGTTGTCTATTCTCTTGGAGACTTGGATGGCTATTCAACACCTCGCAAAAACTCAACCACTTTCCTACAATCTAGATTTTTTTTTTCAACTTGTCGAGCAGATTCTTCTCGATGGTAGGAGAGCAATGAATCGTCATTTTTGTTTTTTCATAGCTCATTGAAAATCAAGCTGGCAGAAGAAATTTCCTCTCGTTAAAAAAACCCAACTGGAAATGTGTGTAGTATACTCAAACTTGGAAATCACGGCGGTTTATCAATTTTTCTAAAATGCCGGACAAGTTCTATGAACTGATGAATATGGGCTTGTTCACAACACCCGGTAGGCTATGTTGATCGTAAGAAATGGGTGTAGAGTTGGCATGAGCGCGAGACAAAGTAAGAAGGAACAAAGCAAGAGGAGTGAGCAAGAGAAAGCCAAGGAATGAGATAAATGCGCGAGTGAGAGAGGAATGTAGTCAAGAGGATGACGACAACGGCGACGACGGCGTTGGAAACAGTGGCGAGGCGGGAGAGGAGTGAAGGAAATGAATGTATAGGTATATATATATTGAAAGGGACGAGGAAGGTGGACAGAAGATAAAAGTGTGAGATGAAGAAAGCAATAAGTCGATGCCATGTGCAGTGGTTACCGTACGAGGACTCGGTGGAAAGGTATTCGGGCAAGTTCAGGGTGATGCAGCGAGTCTCGTTCGCCTCGTTTCGTTTCGTTTCGTTCCCTCCACCTCCTCATTTTGCTGCCTCCCTCCCTCCCTCCCGCCATCGTATCCTTTAGCCGTTGGTATACATGAGGAGAAGACTTGTAGCATGCTCCAAGAGCAGCGTCCTATAGCCGCCGTGGCTGCTGCTGCTCCTTTCGTCTCGTTTCGTTTCACGATACACTACGCCCGGGGCTATCTAAGCGCCTCGGCCGCCTACACTCCAACTCGTCAATTACTTGGCACAACGAGATATCATTGGCCCTTGCTGCCAATTCACCCTACTTTTATCTCTCCCACCAAATTATGCCGAATTTCTTTCTTTCTTTTTTTTCTTTTTAAATAATTGCGAAAAATTAATCAATGCAATGTTCATTGCCACTTCTTGGCTCCTTATTGTGTCACGTAATGGATATATCGTCCAGTTCCCAGTGAATCCCCCCCGGCCATAGAATAACCAAATAGAGCCAACAACGAAAAAGAAAATAAACATCCCCTAAAAATACAGCTCTTGTTTTTGATAGAAAATCCGCTCTATGGTTGGAATATGACAGGAAGGTTGGTTCATGTGTCTCGTTTCGGCGAACGACAACTTTAGACCGCCGTCGCCGGCACTCGGCTCTTTTCAATCGTCGAAATTATTAACCACTTGAGTGACCGTCATGCATGCTCCCTTCCTTTTTTTTCTTTTTTTGATATTCATACATGTATAGAGTGGATCGATTCAAGTCGTCGACATGCGCTTGAACAGTCAAGGGGCCACTGTTCATTGTCATTGGTGTCGTTTCAATATTAATCAACTTTTCTCTCCACCATTTCCGAATATGTAAAATGTTGGCGCAACAATTCTACTAAATTGCAATGATCTACATGTTGAAAGTATACATTTAAAAAGTTTCCTCTTCACACGTGAATTTTGACAACAGTGTTTGTCCAAGCGTGACTTGATTATGGCTCTTTGATGACACGTTTCCTACATCCCTTTGCCATCTTCTTTTCTGGATGTTAATCAGGGCAACACATCGGTGGGCATCGCTGTTAGATTTTCCAATTATGTCATTATCTAGACTATTATTACCACTATAGCGTTGAAAGTATGAATCAGTGAGCTATTAAAATAGTATAAAAGTCATTGACTTACACCATGTCAGGCATAATTTGTAGCAAACAAAGATAATGGGAATAGAGCAATTTCCTTGAGAAATGAACCATTGGTAATGTTTTCTTGATGCCTAATCAGGAGAAATATTGCTCCAACAGAGGTTTGCAAGGAAAAAATCAATAAATCGAGACAAATTGATGGAATAAATATAAATCAATTTTTTGATTTATTAGCAGAATTTCCGGACGAGGGCGGCTTGAATTCGTGTAGAGAAAAGCCACGTGACAGACGATGGGTTAAAGCCACTAGTCAGCAGAGGACAAAGTCTTTTGGCAACAGTGTGACAACGCGGTCAACGACGCGAGGCTATCAATTTGTCAGTGACGAGATGGCTACGCAAGAGAAGGAGAGAAAACAGAAAGAGAAACTGAGGAATGAGACCTGAGAGGGAATGGCATAACTCCATTCTGTGCATTACTAATGGACGTGATAATTTGTCCTGGGGTCGTACCGAGAAATGGGATTAACCTCGATGATTCCCCCTCCCCCCCTTATTGTTCTTTAAATCGAAGATTTTTTTCTGCATGTATTCATTCTTCTCTCTGCATTGTAAATAATAAATATGTGTCTCTCATAGAGAGAGAGAGTTTAAATATTATTTGGAAAGAAAACTCACCGAAAACTGGACTGAGATCAGACCTCGTTGAGGCCTTTCCCGTTGTCGAATAGCTGCCACCCGCGAGTGAGCCCTTCTCCTGTAATACATACACACAATTTGGTTTCGTAGAACTGGCAGTCGCTTGTGTAAATATTTTCAAAATAAAAGAAACAATTCGGAGGGGGGAGGGGGGGATGGGGGAAGAGTAAGCCAAACATTAGTTGAGGATGATAAATAAAGCTCGCACCTCTGATTCCGTGAGATCAATGAGTGAACTCTTTTCCTCCGTGAGATTTTCAGAGGATCTCTTTTCGTCTTCGCCCTCATCCTTGAAAACCTTGACCTCATCTTCACTACCGAGATCATCGCCGCCGCCACTGCTACTCACGTGCGGCATTATTGTTATGCGCTCCGACCGTCCGACGGGACTGATCGGGCGTTAGCGCGCCACTGCTGGCAGGTTATCGTCTTTTTTTTTTCACGGCGTTCTTTCGTATGGTGCAGACGTAGTTTTACCACTTTGACAAGAGACCCAGCTCCCTTTCGAGAATAGTAGCTTCACTTTGTTTTAATCCGCATTAATTATTTGATCGTTTTATTTCACTTTAAATCACTGGATAAATATCACATGGAAATGTTGAATGAAGGTTAGAGAGGTGAAAAAAACAAAAATATGGAACACTGGAATGATAGTTTAGGAAGACTGATGAAATATCAACAACACCGGCCGACCGAACGAACGTAAATAAAAATATAAGCGAGAGAATAATGTACACACGTTTACACGAGCAGCATGCGTTGCCGACGGTCAGTTGATCAGCCAAGTAAAGGAGTGGTGAGCACTACACCACACTGTTGATTGTATGTATATAGCCACGTATAAAGTGGCCGTAGAAACTACCGCATGATGAACCACTGAACGAGATAATATTGCTTGTATTTTTCTTTTTCGAGGTAACTTATATGCACTCTTTATTATCCTATTATCTAGAGTGCAGCACTAATAATTAGGAATTATATTCTACTAATTAATTACACACTACTGGAGGTCACGGAAATAATGGAAAAAACGAAAAATACTAAACAAACACACGAGTGTTGTTATCGTGTCGATGCTGTCCACACGCACCTCTCTGGGCTTTTTTTTTTCCGGGCGTTAACCGCGCGCGCACATATACATAACACACATATAAAAAGAGCACGTTTCTCGTTATTTCCACTGTGATTTAAAATATCCACTTGACTTTCAGTATAAGCGGAGCAGACACACGCACGACGTGTATAGGCGTAATGGTGGCCAAGACACGAGCACAAATTGACACGCTACACTGTGAAATAACGAGGATACAGCACTGACGTGAACTTGACGCCCGCCGTTGGCGGCCATCGTATCTCTTGTCACGTTTATCTTTATTCCAATAATCTCTATCGCTCTCTTTGTTTTTTTTTCTCTTGTTGATATATAACTGGTTGGGTTATATATTGGCTGGGCCTGTGTAAATTCGTCAATTGATTTGATTTATAATAAATATTGAAATGTCCTAGCGAAGATGATTATTTTATGAGAAATGTTTCCAGCCGAGTTGGTTTAGTGTGTATGTAGCAAGGACTGTCACGATCGCCCGCCTCTGTAACGTTCAACTTGAATGCTCGGTGCTGACTGCCGGCCGGATAGCTCGGGCGGGCGGCTCTCCCACGCTTAGACCAATCACGACGCCGGATTCGTTCGGCCGGCTTCCCTCCAACGACTCCCCGCCCCCTCGCAGCTCCCCGCAAAGCATCCACGGGGCCAGTCATGGCAGGCACTCGCTACTAGTCCGCTCAAGCAGGCGGTGGAACGAAGATGGACGACTTTGACCGAGACCAACCGAGTATTATCCCTCTTCTCTTTTTCTTCTCTCACTTCTAGCTTGCACTCTCTCTCTCTCTCTCTCTCTTTCTGGTCCTCCTATACAATTTCACAGACTCTACTGCGCAAACTCTTTCCTCTCATAATGCGTGCTCGATTTTACTGTGTGTTGCTGCTGCTGCTGCTGCTGATGATGACGCTGTATACCCGTCGCAGCAGATTCTCATGTTGACCCACACCGAGACAAGGCAAGAAGCAGTACGTCTTACCTATCTGTTATGTATGATAAACCTCTCTCGGGGTTTCATCGTCGCGTGAATACACTACACGTAAAATTCAGCTACCACCGGGACAAGGACGATGACTCGCGGCGTCAGAGTGAGTAGTCTTTTTTTTCTATGCATGACAGATATACGTACTCATGTCAATGTACGCGCATCTAAGTAGCTTCTTTTCCCATCAGCATTTTGTAATAAAACATTGATATTTTTGCTCGACATGAGCAAACACCAACACGTTGACATGTGTAGGTGAGCAACCCACCTCATTGTCAGATGCACCGAGTACCCATCTGGCTCCCTTCAATAGAGTAATTTCATTATTGAGGATATTAGCGCTGTCCAATGTCCTGCCGACCAATTTTCGTATTTGATTAGCACGATAACCAAGCGCCCCATTCCTATAGTATCTAGTATATAATATCCATGTATACTCCTCTGTCTTGCTCTCCATGTTTCGCTACCTCTCGCCATCTCTGTATCTTCAGAGATATTGAAGAGAACTAGTTGAGAAAAATAAATTAAACAAATCAACATAACGTCAACAGTTGACGAATCATGAGTTGTTGCAATAGAACTTTCAGTTAATTGTTAAAAATTGACATTGTAGGTGAACAATTATCTTTGTCGTTCTGTCAAAGCATTTTTTATTGGTAGACGTAAAAAATAACGGTAAAAGAAGGCGAAAAGAGCAGTGAGAGCCTTGCAATTCGTAATCTGTGTGGTACAACCTCTGGTGTTTTAAATCTGTCAACGGACGCACTACATGTGACGTATTTTAGCGGGCCATTTCACATCAAGTGGTAGTAAATGCAATATGCAGTTTGCCTGATTCAACAGCGAGAAAGCAAAACAAATGACATCGTTCATTGTCTCACACCTCATTAATTCTGGATGAGCCTTATTTTGGCAACTTGACATCTATCAGATTTATTGTATATCTTTTGCCAGAACAAAATTATCATGTGAAAAAACACCTGTACAAATCTACGAAATAGACATGGATCAAGTTTTTTGCAATTCTGGATTATCAATTAATTGAATTGAATGAATGAATATTTAAAAATTTGATGGGAGGCAAATTTCTTTCTTCCTCTGCAAGCACTACCATCTAGCGTTGCCCAACGATATAAAACACATACAGACGGATGATAAGTGACCTTGAGTAAACTTTTTTATCGACGCTGTGCAGCAGAATTGTGACTGGGCTGGCTGGCTTGCTTTAGATTTCTCATCGCGTTTTTCGTGATGAAAAATTGTCTCAATGAATTGAGTTATATCTCTTGACGGAGATGTCATGTGGAAGAAATTTTTAGTGTTTTGTAGTTAATTTTCTCCATATATCCACGTGTATCAACAAAACTATGTTACCATCTGCGTTGATAACAAAGTTTTATGCCAACTATGGAAAATTGCAATACAAGACAATTTCCACTACAAGTCAACTCGGAACGAAAAAACATAGAAATATGAAAAAAATGCAGACCTAATTACTCTAGTCCATGGCCTTGTGCGCATGCTGTTCCTCGAGAACCATATAAAACGAATGAAATAAGCGTGCATGATGCATTACAGCTGGTGATAAACCCGTTGTGTATATTTTCGGAAAGGACTACCAGCAGCTCTATTAGGGCACTTCCGGTTTTCGTCGGTGCTAATATACGTGGGAGTTTGACATTGTCACTCTACCAGTATACTTTCACATTCCGATATTAATCCTAATTTTCACACTGATCATATATATTATACCAACGGCATATATTACTAAACATTAAAATGGAATCCCTATTAGCCGCGAGTGTTATAAACTGTGGCATTGCAAATTCACAGAGTAATCAAATGGATTGACGATAATTATAGAGGCATTATTGCTAACTCTAATGAGGAAACTAGAAGAATGAGTCTACTTGTTATGGGCAAAATGTTGATGTCACTCATCGTACCGACGAGTGAATCTGTAGAATTCGCCCATCATCATTACGACGATCTTGACAACAACTCTTCATGAGTCGCGAAACTGGTCGTTGCTGTTGAATAAAATGGGGAAACTTAACGTGAATCCGACGATCAGGAAGATGAATGCAAGTAGAATGTGAAAGGAAATAAAGGGCTCCGGATGCACGTCATTAACGTAGAGAAAGAGAAAAGGGAGGAGTGAGAGGGATATGACTGACTGGGAAAAGAACGTACTCAGAGGATAGGGGTGAGTATCGGAAGCCGCTGTGCAATTTCACAACGAGGATATTTGGAACCAACCACCCTTTTGTCTACAACCATATATACCTTTTATGCACATTCTTTACTTATGAGGTGCAATTTGTTTTCACGCTTTAATGAATCATTTCACGGCAAGTTTCGATAATTCTTCTTCATGAATTTTAGACAACATTTTACAAATCAAGACAATAGCTCTATTACATGTAGAGATGAGAGAGTTTATCCAATCATAGTTGAACTAATGCAATGTGAAGAATGAGTTTCGATGGTGAAGTACCCTCCCAAAAATTTTCTCACGACGACTCTTGAGACCACCAAGGGCGGGAACTGTGAATAAGTCTGGATTAGTGGCCGGGAAAATTGAAGAAAATGGAGCAAGTAGCAACTATAAGGTTCAAGCTGTAAGCAGGCTCTGAAGTCAGGTGAATTGCCTCACGTGCACGAGACGTTGCATATAATAGCGCTACTCATAACTCCTTCCATTTGCATATAATGTTCTTGTTATATTATAATTTCAAATTCTTCATGATAAAAATTTGAATGACGAGTTTAAAAAATGAAAAAAATTTTTTTTTTCAATGATAACAGACTATAGCACAAGACATGTATATTGACTACATTTGTACGTGTGAGTCAGTTTAAACAGACACATGAAGACACTCAGAATGGTATAACCAACACGGGGATTACATCACCGTGTACGGTACTATTGTCAATCCAACACACTTACACGCTCAATCAACTGTGTGGAGAGTGTATTACGTTACCTCTACGTAGAGCCGTGTGCCCAGTGCACGCTTGACCACGTTGCTAGAGGTATCTTCTCTGCCCTTCACTGCTTAACAGGATTTGCAAAACCTTGGACTGCTTCTTTTCACGATGCCTAACTGTCCGAAGTGCAATAAAGTCGTTTATTTCGGTAAGTGAAATATCAATTTTTCATTTTTTTTTTCAATCAACTTGAAAATTATTATCGAAGGAATTGTCGTAATTTTGGTTTTGTTGATGTCGATGACATCACATCACACGCAGAGTTGTTTGTTTATGAAACGACGCTCGAGGTTGCGATATGAATTCTATCGAGACTAGCTCTCTTCTTCGCGTAATCTAAAGGATGAATATAAAGGATTCCTGAATTTTCTCATTTTGCAATTAAAAATCTTGCTATTTAGAGCCATGAATAATGTATTCTCTTTATTAGTTTTTGACCTTTGGAATTCAACATATAGGATACGATAACGTATGTATACGTATATTTGGTCTGTTGGTGTTCAATTTCCGTTTACAAACTAGAGGCATCGCCTTACCGAGTGTTAGAATGTTCGCGTCCAAGACTTACTCCAAATATGCGCACAGGTCTGTTTATCCATTTTGCATAATCGATATGACAGCACAAACGATGAAAAAACATTATAGGGGAAAAAAACACTGAAAAATATTCTTTCCAAGGAAATATCAGAGGAAATTGTTTGTTTGTAAATATTTAATATATTTCGCGTTTTTCCACTTGCATATCGCCCGGAGGAATGTGTCAACCTTTGAACATTGAGATACCATTATCGGAGTGAGCATGCATCAATTGTGCTTATAGTTTGTCTTTCAATGATAAAGCCAATAGATGATGAATTCTACATGGAGAGAAAGTAATAGGATTTTTCTGATTCGACAACAACACTCATTGCCTGCGTGAATTCTTTTATCATGAATTAAGTAATAGAATTCAATATCACTTCCTCTGTACTAAATATTACTTGTCAATAATTTATTCAATTTATGTGTGTGATTCACATAATTTTCAAGGATAACTTGTCATTATGTCACTGGGTGGAAATTGTGTAAAGAGTTTACGCAAAGTTGTTGATTTAAATTTTCGCGATAGTTAGCCCCTGGTATATAAATGTACAAAAATATGAATAGAAAATGATGAATTTGTGAAATGAAAGAAAGTATAGAAAAATATAAGAGGAGTAGGCAAAGCCTCGGCGCGTATAGTATGCATCCACAACACATAACAGCCACAACAATAAAGTATCCGCCCGCGAGGACAATAACAAAGAAACGTTGCAACGGGGCCCAAGCATATAGTACTATCCTTGTTTTTGCCGGTTCTCTTTCGTTGGTAGGTAATAATGAGAAGAACAGTGAGATGAAACAGGTTTTGTTGAAGAATGGTCGGGGGTTGGTGCGGGAGTTAAGAAGAGAGGGATGGAGAAAAAAGGGAAAATATACGAAACGAGCGGACATGAAAAAAACACGAAAGAGCGAGAAAGGATTATGTGCAAGCCATGCAAAAGTCTTCACAGCATGCGAGGACGCTAGTCGAAAAGGACGTATGGAGGCAAAGAGACGAGAGTGGAAAAAAGAAAAGTGAGTCGAAGGGGAGCAGCCAAGGTAGCCGACGAAAAAAAAAAACAAAAAACAAAAAGTTGCAGAGTAAAAGAAAAAAAAAATATGAAAAAATGGAGTGAGGGTGGAAAGAAGGGGCTTGTGGTGTCTATATATACACTGTGTACCCGCCGATTGTTTAGCACCAGGATGCAACGATGCGTGCACAGCCCAGTCTGTTGAGACTCTGATACGCGGAAATGCCGACGATGGGGCCTCGTTTTCCCCCAACGATGCTTGTTACTGTTCCTTCTGCCTGCTTCCTTCATAATTAGGAGTTAATTAACTAATGGCCCTTGATGTTTCTCTCTCCCTCACTTGCATTTTACCCCTCCTGTCCTGACCTTAGTCAGCCTTGTTCTTTCATTTTGTCATATTTCAAGCTGGCGTCTCATTTTCCATTTCAATACGTTGCCAAATGAAAAGGAGAACAACCCAAAAAAGTACAAATCAAGGGCTTTGTATATATTGCAGACATCCTTGGAGACACGTTTCTCGAGGCATACTTAGCTATGCCTCTGTGTACATGTAGTTTATCTCTTTCTTGATACTTGAATAATCTGAAAGCCCAGTCGGAATATTTTTCTTGCTTTTCGCATACAACAATGAGCTCTCTTCAGAGGGCGCGAAATCGCTATAACATACGTAACAATAAATTGAAATCTCTTGCGGTGTCGTCATTTTTTTGCGTGCTGCATTGCTGACATTGCCGAGTCATGCATTTTTTTTTCTTTTCTTTTTTACCCACCAACAATGAATAAAAAGCCTTTTGCAGGTGCCCCGGAGGCATCATCTCGTTCAAATTTATAATTACGGAATTGCTAATGGAACCACGTGCATCAGTCGGGATCACCATGCAAACGCGCCACAATGCATTTGAAGATTCTCCTTGGAATTGGATAAATTCTTTTCTGGTTTTTATTATTGTCTCGTTCATTTTATTCCGCTCAGGGAAATGTTACAATTCACAATATCGTGAATGTGGGAATATTTTGTTTTGATAGCTGACAGAGCGCCTCCATCAATTTAATTAGACGTGAGTAATAGGAGAATGCTTTGATTGCATCAAGAAAATCCAATTGGACCAACTTGTCTGTGAACCATATTTAATATGTTTTTTCATATTGATTGAATTCATCTCAATGAATTGAGAATGAAATTTTCTATTCATTTTTACTTTTGAACGTTATTTACAGCTGAACGAAAAACTTCTCTGGGTAAAGATTGGCACGGTCCATGCCTCCGGTGTGAAAAATGTAACAAAACATTGACACCAGGTGGACATTCGGAACACGAGGGAAAACCCTACTGCAATCAACCATGCTACGCGGCTTTATTTGGACCTGGCGGTAACATTTTCAATTAATTAACATAATGATTACTTTTCTGCTGGAGATATTTACGTCAATTCTTTTATAGGATTCGGACGAGGCGGTGCTGAAAGCTATGTATACAATAAGTGACATATAGTAATTAATTTGAATACGGATGGACTGGACGACGACAATCACTCACAATTCAAATTTGTGTTAAAGAATTGAATATTTTTTTCAAATAAATCCTATATTTTCATTCCTTCTGCTCTATTCAATTCGATTCTAGAGACAAGTTAATTTTCATCTGCAACAATGAAAACATTGATTTTTCCAAGGCATGGGAATGTTACCTCTAGTCCATATATAGAACAACTTGTTGAGGCCTCGTTTATACCGACAGGCAGTACCGGCCCTCTGATGCTAAATGTCATCACTGCAATACAGATGATGTATACGAAGAGCATCAACTTTCCGGTAATCAGTCACTGAAAGCGGCAATTTTGAATAACACGTGCGGAAGAGTATTGGCAGCGTACTTTGCCATCATTCGATGGAATATTATTACTCGATAAGAGTCAAGCCATATCGGTAATGTGATCCTGTCGGTACATTCACATATTTGGTACTGTCTCTCGTATCCGTTGACTGAGTTATTGCTATTTTTTGCAAGACTTGGAATGCCGCAAGTAATTGACATTTCTCATAAGATTCTGGGAGATTGATAAACTAGGAAAGGAAAAATGTAAGGAAAGGTCGTTGCATTGCAGTGTGACAATTCGACAAAGGTCATATAAACCTCATATTTATTTAAAAAGAATTTACAGATTTCAGTTTGCAAGTATTAACAGCGAAACTCGGCAAGAGTGGCGCATGGAACAAGAATATCACAAGGACCAATGATAAAATTAAAAAAATTAAGAGACAATTTTTTTTTATTGGAAAGTTGTGCAGGGCCCTTTGAGTGCAACCAAATCAGACAGAAATTCCATTTTTGTAAAATTTCATTGACTTTTTGCATTTATTCTTATTTTATAGTTGTAGTTTTCTTTTGGAAAGAACAAAGGCTAGGATATTATTGCGCTATTTTTTGTTTGCTTCTTTTTCAAAGTTCTTTGGCAAAACTTATTACACATACGTTATTATTACAAATTAATAAATAATAAAGAAATTAAATAATCGTAATGAGTAATAGTAATAATAATAATAATGATGATAATAATAATAATAATAGTCAATAATAATAATAATAATAATAATAATAATAATAATAATGAATCATCTAAATAACTTAAAAGTTAATGAAAATAACAACTATCATCGTCATTATGATTATCGGTGTCTAATCTAACTCGTCGTCGTGATAATTATTTACTAAGTAACAATGTAAAAATGCGAATTATTTGTTTGCAATTCTGTGGATATTCGTAGTGAACTTTGGACATAATTCTTCAACCAGTAATGAGAGAAATAATTAAAAATAATCATAGGTAAAAAAAGGAAATACACGTCACATTTATCTACAACATATGTGAGACATGTGGCCTCAAACAGCAGTCCCTTACAAAAACAAGAGAAAAAAAATACTTCTGATTATCATCTAATAAAATATCTACTATTATAAAAGTCATAATCCCGAGAATAATTTTTGTTTCTTCAAAAATAAAAAAAAACGCTCAAGCTTGCACTCATGTTTTATTCTTTCATTCTTGTCAACATCTATGAACCGTCAGCTCCATTCAACCGGGACATTACTAATATATTAAATTTTAAATATCATTTATAATTGATTAGTCTACAAATTTCTTGGTTTAATCTTATGTGAATACGGAATAAAATTAATCTGTATCAGTTGACGTGCGCTGAAACACTGAAAGAAAAGATGATAAATTCGGGGGGGGGGAGGGGGGGGGGGTTT